AAAAAAAAAAAAATCCTCAAAAAAAGAATACAAAATTTAGGAATTTCACAAAAAAGAGCAAGAGTTATACATACATTGAAAACTATACAAGAAAGGAAATCGTGATTGTTTGGAATCTATCAGAAAGTATGTGTTTGTATAAATCACATCAACCACTTGTATGATCTCTGGGAATGAAGGCTTTAATTTTATAATCATATTTTTCTCACCAAATTCCCAGAGATACCTAACTGGGCGGCATGGGTGGGGCTTGAGCTTAGGACCTTGGACACTGCTAGGCAAGTGCTCTGCCCCTGAGCTACAACCCCAGCCAGGAAATTTATTCTAAAATAACCATCTGCTGTAATCCCAGCACTCAGGAGGCTGAGGCAGGAGGATCGCTGTGAGTTCAAGACCAGCCTGGGCTACATAGTGAGTTCTAGGTCAGTCTCAGCTACAGTGAGACCCTGTCTCAAAATAAATAAATAAAATAAAGTAACCACCTGGTGCTTTTCATTATCATTTATGACCTAGCAAACATTGCAGCTCAAGATACACAAACATGCTAAAGTAAGCAAGTATACGTATATCAATTTAATAAGATAATTTCTCATTAAAGAAGACAGATTTGAAAGCATATACTCCAATGACAAAAGAAAACACAAGTACAAGAGAAAAATGTGTTCATCATTAGGCTTAATACAAAAAGTTAAGCTTCGTCCCTTATAATAATTAAATGCCTATAACCTCAGCATTCTGGAGAGGCTGAGGCAAGAGGATCCCAAGTTTGAGAAGAGCCTGGATAACTTAAGCAAAACCTTGCCTCAAAATGAAACATAAAAAAAGGATTGAGGAGGTAGATAAGTGAGAAAAGCCCTGGTTTCAATTCCCAGTATTAAAAACATTTTAAAGATGAAAGGAATCAAATGTTCCTAACCGAAATCACAAAGTAAGCACTTGGTCTGAAGAAGAGCATACCTGGGAACGTTATTGTTTGAATCTTCACTTTCATTCGCCAGACCACCGAACAAATAGCATTTGTTGCCATACAAAGAGAAACTATGTCCCAGCCGAGGGCAGGGAGGTAAACCAGAAGGCGGCGGGTGGGGCTTCACCTTCTTCCAGAGCCACCGACTGGCCTGAAGAAAGAGCACAAATGCACTCAGACAGGCTCCGAGGCAGATACTGCCAACAGTGCAACATCACAAGATCCACGTTAGTCAGAATGCCACCGGCTACTTTTAGGGCAAGTGACAAGTAGGCGCTTTCAGAATAAAATGCATGCTCTAGGGCAGAGGTTTCCACAGTGGCATAGTGAACTCATAATAATAAACACTAACAGTTTTAATGTTGCCAACTGAGTAAATATTCATTAGACTTACATAACTAAGATTAAATATAACTTATGCAACTTATGCATTCTTACTTTCTAATATTAGGTGATTTATAAATGTTACATATTTTTAGCTTTAAGTAAACATAAAGCTCATTTAACAAACCCAACTCTAAGATTTGTTCTCTGGCCATGAGTGTCTTCTTTACCTGAGACAGTCTTCTAAATGAGTTGCTTGTGAATAGGTGTAACCTGCCCATGCCTGCCAATTAGCAGATCCCCCCCACCGTGACAGGACCCTGCACACGCAGACATGGAGAACAACAGAAAGCTAGGGCTACGAGTCTGGGCTAGTAAGAGTCAAATTTAGAAAGGCTAAATAACCCTGCTTTCTTCTGCATTACTGGGAGAGAAAAAAGGAATGATTAATGTTAAAGGTAGCAATGCTGATAACAGTAGAACAGTGGTTTCCAAAGCACAGTCCGAAAACCAGCAAAGAACTTCGTAGAAATGCAAATTCTTAGGCCATACAACTAACTGACAACACTGACTAAGAAACCGTGGGGATGGGGCCCGGCAGTCTTTTTTCACAAAGCCTCCAAGTGTTTCAGTCACAGGCTAAAGTTAAAGAACGACTGCACAAATATAAAAATCAAAATATGTACCACATACAAGTAATGCTAAATAGCTGATACCTTGATATTACAAATATTATCCTTTGCATGAAAACTGACATTACGGACTTGGGGCTTTTTTAATGAAGTGTAAACATTTTCTTTGAATCTAAAACATGTGAAGCTGGGTAGGGGTGGGGGTGTGTTACTGAGACTGGAAAAACACAAGTTCAGGTCCCACTTGGCAACTTAGCAAGACCCTGTCTCCAGATTTAAAAATAAGGGGGCGCTGGGGCTGTTCTGATGCACAGTACCACAAATAAACAAAATCAAATGTGAAGCTCATGCTATTTTAAGTATGTGAATATTTTGTAACATTCTGAAGAACTGAGAGCCTTGTTATTAAATTTCAGACTGAAATAATATATTTTCAGTACACTTACCTGCAGCTCATATAATTCATTGCTGTATCTTCCATATTCAACCATTCCCCCAAATACCAATATTCTGGTACCATCACAGACAAATCCATGGGCAGCACAGCCTGGAGGGATGTCTCCTCTAACAGCTGGTAGGAACCACTGATTTGTAGCTGGACGCCAAAATAAAATTAAAGTCAGTCACGAGCACAGCTAACACATTCGATGAGCATGTAGTCTGGATGTATCATCCGTGTCTGTGACTCTTAACGGGGATACTTTTGTCCCCCAGGGGATACTGACAGGGCCATGTATGGAAACGTTAGGAGCTGTCACATCTGGAGGTAGAGATGCTACCAGTCAGGAGCAGGCAGAGGCCAGGGATGCTGTCAGGGAAGAGTCACGCAGCAAAGAATCACTGGGCCTAAAATGTCAGTAGTGATGCTGGTGAAAAGCCCTGATTAAAAGCCCTACCAGGTGTGCTCAGTGGTTCCACCACCTGCCCCGCAAGTGCAAGGACCTGAGTTAAATCCCCAGTACCAAAAAACAAAACAAAACAAAAAAACCCTACTGGGTTAAGTATCTCCATTTTACAAACAAAAAACATCTAAGGTTTAAAAGAGTGGTAACTTGAATGCTAGTCCCTGCAACTAGCTGATCAAGATTCACACAAGGTATCATTCGTCCTAAAGTTTTTACACCACGCTAAATAAAATGACTTCTAAACCTTATGCGCTGGGCAGTCGGGAGGAGGAAAGGAGGCAAAAACCAAACATTTCTCTACTTCACTGTATCCTTCATCGTTACTCCACCGCGGTGAAGTCGTTTGGCCAAAGAAAAGTTGTGGAATCCAGTAATAAGCCTTACACCAAAGAAGATTTCTCCCGACAGCTGCAGAATTGCCATGTGGGGAAAATGAAATCCCAGGCTCTAAGGGCTGGGCTTCCCTGGCCAGCGGTCCTTAGGATGGGCAGGGCGCTCCCCGCTCCTGGAGGACCAGCGCCGCACAGACCGAGCACACTGCCGGCCGCGTCCCCGAGGCGGACCGGGGGCTCCACCGCAGTTCACTCCCCCTGCGCTCCGGGGCTGAAGGGCTAGAGGCCGCTGCTTTCCCCTCCTCCTAAAGATGAGCGAGGAAGGCAAGGCCCGCAAAGGCCCGGGGAGACACTCGCGGCAGCGGGTTGTGTTTTTTGACAGCGGAGGGATTCGGGCTTGGGCAGCGGGAGGGACACGAAGCGGAGGCCGAGGCTGGAGGGACGCGGGAAGGAGGCCGACGCAGGAGGGACGCGGCGCGGGATCTGGCGGGTGCGACTGGCCCT